ATGCAGTGTTTACTTGTGTTATCTTTGACTAATATTTAATTTTATTGATGATCTGAAACATTAAAGTGTGACAAACGTGCAAAACAATGAAAAATCAGGAAGGGGGCCAACACTTTCACATACGTACATATACACACACACACATATATTACTCTTTAACCTTTTCACTGCCAGAGCTATTGATATTAGCGCAGCAATCAAACAAAGATATTCAGGAAATAAATACATTTAAGCTGATTTTTTTTGTAGAATATAAGATGAGTACATAATTACCAAATAGGTCAAGCCTTAAAGTTCTATGCACCCATGAAACGGCGACAATCTACAGTATCCAACATTGTCCGTAGGTGGAGTTTTAAAACCACAGTTCATCAATTAGGTAATTAGGGAGATAAGATGCAATGATGGCCTAGATTCATTACTGGCACTCCCGCGTGCAACACCAAACATGTTATGCAATAGCTGTTTTCGCACATGGATACACCAAATATGTGCATTTATGTTCATATGTGCGTGTACATGGGGGTGGGGAGGTTTTTTTCTTTTCTTAAATTAACTTAATTGCCGTCATATGTTTCACGTACACAAACAATCTAGCACAGGGGTGGGCAAATTAATATAGAGCCAAGGAGCCAGTAGGATTTTTTGTTTTTAGGAGCCAGCTCCATTGACAACTACAGAAAACTTCAAAAGGGAAGAGTCAGCTGTATTTTTTTTTTAAAAAAAGGAACATTGGCTCCCTGGCTCCTGGGATTTGTCCAGGCCTGATCTAACATAAGGTGTGATAAGACCTGTGTATGCAGGAGGCAGTCACCACGAGGGTTGGGAAGCTTTTTAACTCTCCAGACCATGTGTTTCCTGTAGGTGGGTGGAGCCATATCTCAATTATAATGTCCTGGAGGATGACTTGTGGGCAAAAAGGGGGGTTCCAAAGCAGGCACTTGATCACATAGTTTTAGTGACTCTAGCTTTAAAGAAAGGCTCCTAAAAGAAACACAGGGGCTACAATTGTTAACTTTTTATTCTGCAGATGCTGGTTACCTGGATGCCATGCCGGCTCTATAACTTTAACACTGTTTGGTCACTGACATGTATGCAGATCAGGACTACTGACTTGACTTGGACTTCCCTGATATGCATATTTGTAAGCACTGAAGCCAGAAGGTTAGCCAATTAGCATTTTCCGCAGGAAATCATAAGTGACCACCCGATGTTACTCATAGAAAAGGTTTAAATCAATACATTTTGGTAAAATGCTGGAGTAAGTCTTAATTTAAAAGAATGAAATGGGAAAAGCTAACCTACTATGCGTTTCAAGATAAGCAGAGCCAAATATCTGCATGGAATCAAAATCTGAACAGTATTTTCCACTACAAGATCAGCTGACTAATAGGATATTTTACCTTTAAATGACATTAAACTCAGGAGTGAAGTCCTAAGTACACTATTAACAAAACTGGACCTTATTTGTGTATTGCTATAGATCCTCAAATCATCTCTGAATTGGTGCTGACACTGTCCCCCCTTCTGGAAGGTGGCTACTTTTGTTCCCCATGGTCACTGTGTGTGTGTGTTGTAAAGTTGTCACCGCTCCAAGCTCGCTCCTGTGATGGAGTACAATCTCACGTTTAGTTTAATAATTTGTATTGGCATTGTACTCCATCATGGGAGTGAGCTTGGTGCGGTGGCTACTTTACAACATAGACAGGGGCCATGGGGAACAAAAGTAACCCCCGTCCAGAAGGTAGTGCAGTTTCGGCACCAATTCAGAGATGATTTGAGGATCTACAGCCGAGTGCCACACAAATCAGATACATTTTTGTTACTAGTTAAGATACTTGAATGCATTGTTAAGATTTAACTCCTGAGTTTGGTGTCACCAAGTCTGGAAATTGCGCTCGCCATCCCATGATTTAAAGCAGGGGCTCCCACAATTTTTTGTTCGGAGATCTGCTTTTCAAATGACAAGCTCAATGAGATCTACCAACGAAAAACACCTGCATTCAGGGGTGGGAGGGAGCATGGTGCCTGTGTTCCGGTCCAGAACATTGGTGCCTGTGTTCCGGTCCAGTGCGATCTGCAAGCACTATTTTTGCTGATTGCCCTGGACCGGAAAGCAGGCAGGCGATCACACTGTGGGCATGGCTGCAGTGCCATTGACTTCAATACAACCCCACACCCCCTCCCGCCCCTGAACGCAGAGAGTCGGCCGGCTTGCAGTCCAGTGCGTTCTAGAGGCGCCGGCGTCCTGTCCAACTATTTTTTATTATTTCTTATTGTTTTTTCATTTTTTTTAGTGTTTGAGGGGCTTCGGGGAAATATTAAGGGTCTAAACAGCCCCTGATATTTCCCTTTTAAAATAGAAAAAGAAATTGAGGACACAGAGTCCCCAATCTCTTTTTCTGCAGCCTCTGTTCTAAATGAATGGAAAGCAGAGGCTTCCCATTCATTCAGAAACTATCAAGCAGTTTCTGAATGGGGAGGAGCCTCTGTACAGACTGCTTCTCCCCATTGAGAATCCCATGAATGAACAGGAAGTGATGTAAATCACATCCTGTTCATTCATAACTGGGGACACATAGTGCTATGTGTCCCCAGTTATTTACAAACACTGGAGTGATCAGCTGATCGCTCCAGTGTTTGTCCTGCACAGAGGATCGGAACATGTCACTGCTTTAAGATAGGGACAAGGTGGAGAGAAGTGACGAATGACTTCACAATCTACCCTCGTCTAGTCAGAATGTCTTGTATATATTCTTTTAAAGAATAAAATAAATTTTCTGAATGGGGGAGGTGCCAATTGAGAGTTTCTATGCTCAGTGTATGCTCAGGCTAGGTTCACACCTGCATGATCCATAACCACGCACAAAACCGAGCAGTCACGGAGTCAACCTCCACAGCCAATCGCACTGGTGGTGCCAATATTTTCTAATGGCACCCAAGTCGCGCAGGGCGGATTGTATAGTTTCCTGCTTGTGGAATTGAACATGATCGCTGCACAAAAAGATACCTGTACCTTTTTATTTTAGCGATTTCCACATGGATGTAACCCTTTTGAAATAAATGGGACCGTGCAGCAATCGCTGTGTGCACCCAAACATGACCGCACGTCCCAGGTATCTCTCAAATCTGAACCTAGCCTAAAGGTGCCCATACACTGCTTGATTCTCGTACGAGAATCGGGCGAAATCCCGCGATCGTACGAGAATCAGCAACTTGCAACGGGCAACATGGAGCTGTACATTAAGACAGCCCCATTGAAAATCACTGGCCGGCGACTTCTTACGATATCACGCAACAAAAATGCGCGATAGAGCGGCGGAAATCGCACAATTTTCCGCTCAGTTTGAATGGGGCCTAAGAGGTAGAACGTCGCTGCAGTACCGACCGGCAGATAAGAGGACACACTGTATGGAGTACATATAAAAATTAGGGCATCCCCCGCATTGCTACTGATGTTGCATATAAATCATGGCAGGTAATGGGGCTGACCTAATCTAGCTGCTAAAAATAGATTTTTCATGGCGTTCTACTATAAAAGGGGAAAGTAAAGAGCGCAGGAAGAACACAAGAGTTAAAGCTTAAAATGACACTAAACTCTGGAGTTAAATCTTAAAAATGTATTCAAGTACCTTAACTATTAACAAAATGTATCTTATTTGTAGATCACTCGGCTGTAGATCCTCAAATCATCTCTGAATTGGTGCCGACACTGTCCTTCCTTCTGGAGGGTGGCTACTTTTGTCCCCCATGGTCTGTGTTGTAAAGTAGTCATTGCTCTAAGCTTTCCCCCTGTGATGGACTACAATCTCACGTTTAGTCTACTAATTGGTATTGAGATTGTAGTCCATCACAGGAGCGAGCTTGGTGCGGTGGACTACTTTACAATACACATAGGGACCATGGGGAACAACAGTAGCCACCCTCCAGAAGGAAGGACAGTGTCATGAATTCAGAGATGATTTGGGTATCTACAGCCGAGCGATACAGATACATTTTTGTTACAAACATGTTTGCATGCATTTTTGATGCGTTTGCATGCGTTCCAGAGCAGGAGAAATAGGGATTGCTGCATTATTTTTTCTACATGCTCTGGAACTGAACGTTGCGGTGGGAACTAGAGCCCAAAATACCATTGGAATACATTGGACGCACTTTCCATCCGTTCTGTTACAGCTCTGCACCTGCTCAGCACTTGGTGTGAACTAAAGCGCTGCGCAAACTGTTGGCGCCATATAAATCCTGTATAATCATAACTAGCCCTGAACTGACTTTTCTTGGTTGTGTTTTTTGCAGATAGTTAGTGCCTTATTTCAGGGTGTGATAAGCCATCTTTCTTTTTTTATCTTGTTCTGTTCATTTTGGACAGGAGGTATGCCCCATATGACTATGTTTTGTATTGTACCATTTAACTTGTTCCAATAAAGAGAATTAACAGCTTATTTATGCACCTCGAAACTCATGTACTTCTGAACACAAGCAGCAGCACGAAGCTTGGGCGTGAACGGGCACCATTGAATATAAAGGGAATCTTCACGTTGAGTGCTGCCGCGCTTCGGGGAAACACATGACAAATCGCTCAGGTGTGATTGGGGGCTAAAGCAATAAGCGTATACAAAGCAAAGCCAATGAATGATGTCACAAGGGCTCTTTCACAAAGAAAGGCGGAGCTGCCTGCAAATGTAATAATGCAGAGCCCTACTTTATTAGGTAGAAGCTTCATGTACCTACGGTGGGGGGGGGGGTAAAAAGTAAAAGCCACTGTCAGGTATGTGCAGAGCAGCGACACCTGACCGGATGATGTATGCTGCCTTCCATGTGCTCATCCCCTGCCCTATAATGTCTGTATAAAGGCAGCCTGTGTGCCTGTGTATAGGGGAGGGGAGAGCTGCCTGCGCACATGTACCGCATCCAATATAGCAGCTGAGCCGGTCATGCAGACTAAGCACTATGTGACATGCAGCGCTCAGTCCCCCTAATGCCAGCAATCGAACAAGTACCTGCGAGCAGAAATACGAGCCTTGGATACCAAGCTTGATGCAGGTCGGACATTGCAGCTTGGCCTCGCTCGTGCAATCCGCTGTCTCACACACTCGGCTCTCCACCGCCGCCATGCTTCACCCGGTTGCGCCCACAGGACGGTGGGGAGGAGGAGGAGAATTGGCCAGGCTCGGGAGGGCGTGTGAGTAATGCTGGGCGGCGCAGTGACCGGCCTCAGAAATGAAGAGGAGGTCTGGGTGACGTGCTATGACAACAGGAAAAGGAACAGACAGCCGTACAACGTGCTCTGAGAGGAGGAAGTCTTGCACCGGCGTTGGTGGGCGGAGCTGCTGTTGATCTAGAGGAAGGGCGGGGAAGGGGGTGTGTACGACTCCAGCCAGGGTGGGCGTTGCTGCTTAGCGAGACTTTGCGACACTGGTTGGTTCCTGAGGACCATTCCATTCACAGTGCTGTGTTTTCATTACCAGTGCTTCAAAAAAATCCTGCTTGCTGCATGTTCGGCATCAGTAAAAAAGCACATCTGCTATAAGGATTCTGTTAGTCAATGTAAAACGTAATAGGGGAGCAGGGAGTTTTGCTGCTGAAGTGGCCAGGAAGCAATGCCCTGTGAGTGGGGAAGAAGAGGGGGCGCTTGGTGGTGGATTGGCCAGGAAGGGATGCAATATGAGCTTGACAAACAGAAAAAATTGTGTGTCTTACTGCACTCCTTACCGGAACTCCTGGGAGATAATGTCTGTAATCGTAGTGACCACGGTGGCACCGCGTAACCAAATATAATTCCAAAAGATGTCACCAGCACTCCAAGCTTAGGTTCAATCAAATTTGATGACAACGTAATTATGACAATGCATTAAATTTGATTGAACCTAATCTTGGAGTGCTGGTGACATCTTTTGGAATGCAATATGAGCTTGGGGGCTTGAGGTGAGATGGCCAGGGAGAGATGAACTATGTCTGTGGGGGGGATCTGGTGAGCTGAGAGAGATCAGAGAAGGGTACATTGTTACTGGGGTTGTTAGTGCAGTGACTGGGGAGCAATGCAGTGTGACCCCGAGGGGGGGTTATGGATTGTTGGGGTAGCTGAACTGTGAGTTGTGGAGTGAGGTCGCCAGGAAAGGATATGTAGGGATTGGGGGGGTTAGTTGAAGAGGTGGCTGGGAAGGGATGCAGTGGGGGTATGTTTGTTGGTAAAGTGGACATGTATGGATGTGCTATAATCGGAAGCTGGGGTGACCAGGGAGGAATGTGGTGGATTTCAGCCAGGTAGAGGGGTACCAGGTAAGATGGTTATGTTGGTGAGGTGGCTGGAGAAGGATGCAGTGAGGGTTGGATTGGGGATGCTATGCTAGCCAGGGAGATGCATTGTACACATGTCCCCCAGCACCCACTTGGAGACATTAAAAATATCCCCACACTGCAGAATCTCCCCACCTATTCCACCTCTCAACTCAAGGTACTCTGTCAAAAGGCTTTTGTCAATTGAATCAGTTTTGAAATGTTCCTGAGAGAATTTAAAATTATTTGATGGGTACACTTGACGTGCAGTCGACCTCCTTCTGACCTGCATTTGGCTTGCTTCAAGCAGGTTTTGCATTTCCATATTGCTGTATAGGAGTGCAAACAGGGCCAAATTCCCGGCAAGGCCACCGAGGCCCGGCCTCGGGGCGGCACTGAGCAAAGGGGCGGCACAGGTTTCAAGTCAGCTGACGCCCAGAACACGGAGTGCCGGGCGGTAATTTGTTTTCTACATATAGCTCTGCTTTGCACAAGCAGAGCTAAATGTAGAATAGGAGAAATCCCCTGTTTCTTTACAAGTAATCTTGGCGATGTCGCCGAGATCACTTGTAATTAGAATGCTGGTCCGTCCTCCCCCCGCCGCCCACTTCCCTCCCCTGCACTTACCTCTCTCCATGCTGCGTCCTTGCCGCCGTCTTCAGGATGGAGAGCGGTGAGCAGAGTGGCAGGGTTAAAAGTAACACTGCCGCTCCGTGTAGACAGCTGTGCTCTTCCCCTCTCAGCTGTCACAGGAGTTCCAGCACAGTGCTGTGCTAGAACTCCTGTATTGGAGGTGACAGGTTCAATAAAGAGAACCTGTCACCTCCAAAGGCTATCAGACAGTGACTTGTTAGCTCCTGTGTTATAGCAATAAAAGGTGAAAAAAAGATTGATAAAAAAATAATTACATAAATAAAAAATAAGTAAAAAATAATAAGTGAAAATAATTACATTCAAAATAAAGTAAAAAATAGTAAGAAAATATAAAAAAATACAACAATAATTATAAATAACAAATAATAAGATAAAAAAGTATAAAAACAATTAAAAAAGTAAAAGAAGACAAGATAAATAAAAATTTAAAAAGTGAACCCTGCCTTTGGGCGGCAGGAAGGGTAAATCCAGTCCTGAGTGCAAAACCCCAAAACAAGTCTGTCGACATGGGCCCTTATTGTGGCCGGCATAGGCCCTTACTGTGGCCGGCATAGGCCCTTACTGTGGCCGGCATGGGCTCTTACTGTGGCCAGCATGGGCCCTTACTATGGCCGGCATGGGCCCTTACTGTGGCCTACATATCACTGCAAACAGGATCCCAACTCCAACAGGGTAAAGCATCAATGAGGGAAGCAGAACTGCCTGGGCAGACTGCTGACAGAGCAGACTGAGCAGCTTCTCCCTGACTGCGCTCTTGTGTTGTTGCTGCTGCTGATCCTCTTACAACCCTGTGGCCGCATTCTTGCAGACCACTTGTAATGTTCTAGGATTTCCATAGTGTGTATGGCACCTTGCTATTTATTTGGCTTGCCTTTTATTTATATTACTGTTTTACAATTCAAAGATTTTTATTTGGTTTTAGTATTACAATACAACAAAAAGTCACACTAAGTCACAACGAAAGGTGACTGCTCAAGAAACAAAGTATAAACAATCATTTCAGTTGCATTTTAAGGATTAACAATAAGGAACCTATTGATAGGACTAACTGTACGTACAAAAGTTCCTGTTTGACATGTACTCAAACTAAAAATGAAATGCGTAAGTTAGGCCTAAAATGTTTAAAGAAGGGAAAAGGAAGAAGAAAGGAGGGAAATGTTAGAACGAGGAAAAGGATGCCAGTATATGTTAGGGCAGTGGTTCTCAACCTGTGTAACCTCAGGACCCACATTTGTGCTTGGTCATTAAGTCGTGACCCAAGTCGCACTGCAATGGAATGCATGGCATTAGGGTACCGCGTGTTCCAGTGCGAGCGTACGAACTGTGGGTGGGAGGTGCATTTGGGGTACCATTCAAATGAATGCATGGTAGGTGCAATTGCGTAGTACAGTTTAGCGCACTGTACTAGTGTGAACGGGCCCTAGAAAACACTGACATACATAGACAGACACAATCTCACACACTTACAGACATTCTCATACACACTCCCAAAAAATGTTAATTTTTAAAAAACAATTTTAAGATCCACCCATTCTCTCTCTGGAGTGGATCCTCAGCCTGGAGTCCGGTGTGGACATTGTGCATGGCTTCTACAACTCCCTTGCGCACCGTGTAGAGGTGTCAGTAGCCAGAATGTGACGTCACTCTAGTCCAGGCACCTCTACAGGGCATGTGAGTGAGCTGTAAGCAATACATGTATGGATGGAGCTCCCTCGTGGCCATAGCTCCATCCCATCCCACCTCAAGCTGACAATCAGCGCTGGGCAGCATATTTTGTATGGCTGCTTGGAGCGAGAATTGACAGTGGGGGAGGCAGAGGAGCCTCTCACCTAGAAAAGTGGAAGGCATGTGTTGACCCACTGAACATGGGGTCGCGACCCACTTTTGGGTCACGACCCACCAGTTGAGAACCAAGGTGTTAGGGAGAATCAGGTAGGATGTAAGTAGTTACATTAAAGTTTATCTCTATTATAAGACAAGTAATCTGCAATCAAAGTTTGGAGGCGTAGATTTTGAAATCCAAGGGTCCCATGTTTTATAAACTTTTGCCATGCATCCCTCAAGTTTCGATGAGAGCTTTTCATTACTGAGAGTCGTATGGACCCGGGATTTCAAACTTGAGAAAGATAATGAGGGTGAGTTTATATTACTGTTTGAATGACAGAAGCTGTCCTAACCTGTTCAGCATGTTAGGAGGTACATTGCTCTCTTAGAGAGGATCTCGGATTAGATTTCACAACAACCATTTGCATGGGTTTGCTTCAAAGGGGGGGGGACGGGTGTGACATTGATTGCCGTGATCAACAGTCCATCTCCTCAATCTATTTCCATAGAAGAAACCTTTGTCACACTTTCCTGAGAATTGAGCTGGTGCTGGATTATACCCTCTGTACGAGGTGCTCGGCTTCAGCCAATCTGCTCTCAATTTCTACAGTAAAAGGCTAGTTAATCTTTTGCTCAGTGTTTAAGCAACATTGTATTACACTTGTTGCCAGACCCCCCTGCGGTTCTTGAAACGCTCATCCTGCTTCCTAAGAATTCCTGTGATTCACTGTTTTACCTGTATTGCTGATTGCGCTGTTCCTTTGAAATCCTCTGTGCTGACCTTGTGTATACTGCCAAAGAGCTGCAATTACATTCATCAGTAAGCTGTGAGTTTTCTCTGCCTGCACCTGTGCACTGCCTGTGTGTACCTACAATCCAGCTACTGTGTGTCTGCATTCTCCTGTGAACCTGCTTCATATGTGCGCCAGTCTGCTGTGTGTATCCTAAACAGCAGGGCTATATAGGCTTTCTTCTGTCATCCAATGAATCCTCTACCACAGTGCAACAGTTATCCTGTACCTCTCCCTTGTCTGCCACTGTGTCCAGAATCTCAGCTCTGCAATGGTATCACTTTGCTTCCTTCGCATTATCCTGTCAGCTGTCCCTGCATGGGTGTATTGGAGAGCAGCAACCTGGGAGCTGTCCAGTGAAATCCATCTCCCCTCGCAGAGGGCTCTGCTGAATACCTGGCACTCCTTTGACTCTGCGTGTCTATCACACCCATGGCAAACATGTAGTTACTCTATCACTACTATCCCTGTGTCCTGAGACTCTGGTGTCACTCTGTCTATCACCAGTGTCTAGCTGCACCAAAAACCCCAGAGCCTGCGTTCGCAGTGAATATGGTCCCCAGATCGTGACACCTTTACAAGTGACAATGGCATTTGTGATGAAGAACCCTTACAGCGGTTATTGTTACCTGAACAGAACAACTGTGGTGCCCCTTTGCAACCAAGTGTATTCCAACTTTCCTTTCTTCATTTTAAAAAGGATTCAACGTATCTCGCTGGTAGAGATCA